GTATGCATGTATGTGTGTATGGGTGTATGTGTGCATGTATGTATGCATGCATGTATGTATATCTGCTCGATTTAATTACAATGCCGCCCACTCAGGAGCTCATCAACTTCAAGAAGTTCTCTGATTCGCTGCTCTCAAAGTCAGCCAGGCTCCACAACCTGCTCGCTGAGCTAGAGGAGTACATCCCCGACATGCCCGATGGTGCCGACAAGAAGAAAGCCCAGAAGCCACGCAGCTAGATATGAACCCCCCCTAAAGAAAAACCTATGTCCAACCACCATGCATGCTTTTAACTCTACAAGCAACTGCAAGATTCCATCATTGTCAAGCATTCACAGCTTAAGGGCTTAATGTCATCGTTCCCAGCAAAGCCTTGTGGCCTTTTCCTGGATTTCCTTCTTCCCCTAACCCCGATCGAAAAGCCTTTGGTAGAGTATGGAAACCCGACCCGAACCCAGTAGCAGCAGAGGCCCGTCCAGTGTGTAGGTGTAACCATTCAGCCCAGGTCTGCCAAGGGATTGGAGGAGGTCATCGGTGTCCTGGAAGATGAGAATGAAAAGATGGAGACATGTCGAGCTCAGTGTGCGAAGCTGTCCAACACGCAGCTTAGTGAGGAAGACTTGAAGAGGCCCGCCAACAAGATTATGTAGCAGTCATATATTCAATGCCTGACAACAGCCCCAAAGTTCCGATGCAATACTTCCTCGTCAACCCACAATTCACGTGTCAGGCTTGTGTCGCAGCTGGATGGCCAAATGCAGAAAACCACGGTTGCGTGCCTTGTCAGCACAGCTTTCCAGGTGCCCACCTCTCCACCTGTTGTGAACAGTGCTGCTACTGTGCCACTCAGGTGCAGCCGTGTGGGGTCGGTCGAGACAACAGCTAAGAATCTCGGTAGCACTTGGGTACATGATTTCCATGATACCATGATGTGGGATGGGAGAATGATGGGATGACCCTTCAATGCTTCTTAGACTGACTGTCAACTATAAAACTATCGATCCTGTGGCTGCTTCTGTTCTCTCATGGTTCGTGATTAAAACTCATGGTTCGTCCGATTACAAATCTACGTCTATCTCTATGTGTAAAAAGTTAGGACCCGTAACTAGTCAAACCTCTAGGGGAGCCTTTTGTAGTTTCCTTGTCTTCTCAACAGGAACCTGCTGAAGAAGCTGAAGGCTGGCAGCTGAGCACCGCTACGGTGCTGGAGCTGATCCGAGCCTCGCCCAGGCGCTTTTGGGCGACCACGCCTTGCAACTTCAAGCAGTTGCCGTGTGTGTGAATGTTTCTCCTATGTCTAATATAATCATATGGACTCTCTGCTGCTACAGAGCTTGGAGATCTGTCTAGTCCATACACATCTAAATAGGGGTCTAGGGGCTTTGGGTTGGGATGACATGCATTGATTGCATGCCATCGCCGCAAACACGCGACTTTAGAGCGTGCCTTTTCTGTTTCCCTGCATATATCGTGTCACTCGATGTGCGTAATGCTGGAGCAAATCCAAGGCTGAGCACAGGATCGCTGTAAAACTGTGTGCGAGGACATAACATGTTTATTTGGGGGAAAGACGTACATGAATGCTTGGACAGCAAACTCTGTCCTAAATTGTGCATGCACATGCCAGATATGCTGCCTGGGCAACTGCTGACGAAGCTGGCAAAGCAAGTGGCCTATGGAGCTTGGGCCTTACATTTTGTAGCACGAACACGTGCAACCTGTTCGCTGAAGCTTTACTTGGGAGTATTGTCACATTAGATGCATCTCGATGGTGGGACCGCTGCTTATGCTTCCGCATTCCACTCAGTGCAGCTATATAAGTCCTCTGAAACAAAGTAGGGTGGTGTAGGGATAATTAAATGTCCGACTGAGCCCAGTGCATAGCGACCAATTTAAGCTGCGTGCAGATACTACACTTAAGTTGGATTGAAACAACACATAATATTATATAGAGGATATATATATATATATAGCTAGATCTAGGCTAAACCCAGCATGAGTCCACATTTCTCCTAGGTGAACCATGACCATGCATGATACCATTAGTGTCTGAATGGTCTGTGGCAATGGATGACCTGTTGGATCTGCTGACTTATGACTGCCCTTTCACTGGAAGAAAGCGGTGTGCCGTCGCATCAATGCGCGAGTCTCCTCGAAAACTCCCAAGGTGTCTTGATGCTGCCTCTATAGGTAGCCTGATGTACATAGTTACATGT